ACCTGGAGAACAGGTAGATAATGTGAAGAACTACTTCACAAAGATTAATCACCTGTTAAGAACTACAAACACTAAAATTATACAATCTACAAGGTCAACTTAGTGTAATAGTCCTACTTTCTTCCTTATGTGGCCTAAACTCCCTTTCAAGCATAGTTTGGTTAACTGCAGATTTTAAGAGGCAGAGCTAGCCATACTGGCCTGTAATCCCAGCACTTGGAGACACTAAAGTGAGAGGATGATAAACTCAACACCAACCTGGCTGTACAGGGCTACATATCTAGACCCTGGGTCAAAATTATGCAATAAGCGAGCAAGCAAAAAATAATCTATTGGCTTGATACCGAGCCACAGAGGTGCCGCATCTAACTGGTACTCGGTGGAAAATCAGTGGGGAGATAGAGACCAAAACTACTACCCAACCACAGGAAGCATTCTCAAGAATCTGTTGGGGTCAAATTCTGCAGGTAAGGGTGCTATTTACACAAGCCAGTATACCTGAGTTTGATACCCAAGACCCACATAAAGGTGGATGGAGCAAACCAATTCCACAAAGTTGACCTCTAACGACCACATGTAGAACAATAAATAAAAATCTACTGGATGGAGCAAAGAAACCTTCCAAGGAAAGAATCGTTCCAAGTATAAGACTGGTGGCTTATTTGACAAAACCAGGCAACCATTCCTCTTCAAATGCACCTTCATGTATACTATAAATGATCTGAAATTATTGCCCTCAAGTCTAAAATCCAGTGGAGGAAAAGAAAAGCAACACATCAACAAGTACTCCATTATAGCCCAAAATGAACCATATACAGTTAGATAACCAAGAAATAAGAGAGCAGAAAATAGTTTAAAAAATGAGTTGAAGGAGTTAGCGGTGATGCAGGCAGATCTCAGTGAGTTCAAGGCCAGCCTGGTCTACAAAGTGAGTTCCAGGACAGTCAAACCCTGTCTCGAGAGAAAAAAGAAGAAACTTGAGTGAAATTACCTCTGCAAGGCCAGTGTGGCAAAACATGCCTATAATCCAAGTAGGAAGACCATGAGTCAGGGGTCTTCCTGGTTAAATGAGACCGTGTCTCAAAAATAAATTAACTGTACAAATAAGAATAAATAAAATTATTGCAATCGTTCATCCTAGGCCTACTCATCCACTTTGGGAAAATAAAAAGCTCCCTAGGGGGCTGGAGAGTAGCAGTGGCTACTCTTCCAGGGGTTCAATTCCCAGCCACCACATGGTGGCTCACACTCATCTATAATGGGATCTGATGCCCTCTTCCACCATGCAGGCATACATGCAAATAGAGCACTTATATGCATAAAATACATCAAAAATAAATCTTAAAAACAACCTCCCTAGATTCTATAAGAGTCCTTCCCTTACTGTGAACTCTTGACACTAAAGAGTCAGCTGGTGATCCCAGCATCTGAGGTGGACACTGGAGATCAGCAGGTCAAGGGCATCATCAATACAGAGAGTTCCAAGCCAGCCGGGGCTAAATAAGACACAAGAAAAGAAGGAATTATGTGAGAGCCCAAACCAGAAAAGGTACAAATTCTGTGAGTAAGAAAAACATAAAAACAGGGTGCCCTGTAGAGATGGCTCAGCAGTTAGGAGCACTTACTCTTGCAGAAGACCCAGATTCAAATCCCAGCATCCACATGGCAGTTCCAGTCCCAAGGGATGCAAAGCCCTTTTCTGACCTCAGTAGGCACCATGGCATGTTGTACACATACACACATGCAGGCCAAATAAGTCAAAATAAAACTTAAAAAAAGTTTGAAATTTCTCTAAATAGAATTAACAAGTTTATCTGTAGGGCATACATCAAGAAGTAGCTGGAATGTTAATGCAAACCTAGATAAAACTTAACTTTTTTTTTTTAAATTTAACATTGAATTTGGGCTTAAGTTCCACTACCAGTTAAGTAGTAATTTCTAGTTATAAAGTACTCTCTGTGGTATATCAACTCTACCTTACAGATAAGGACCACTAACATCTACCATAATTTCCTAATACAAACATCCTTCTTGAATGCCTGGGATTTTTTTTTTCCACTATCATTTTATGTGCTGAGTTTCCAAAACCACCCAGTGAAAACTATTGCCTATTCCCATTTTAGGGATAAAATGGAGACCAAGTAGATTGAGAGACCAATACTAACTGAAATGATGTCAACTTTCAAATCAGTGCGGTGTCTTCTCTAGTGCTGTCTTTGAACACAATCAGGCAGGGTTAGAGAAGGCTCTGCTGCTCAAAGCTCTGCTGCTCTTCCAGAGGATGGGGAATCCCAGCACCTACTGAATTCCTCACACCTGTCTGTAATTCCAGTTCCAAGGGATCTGACGGCCTCTTCTGGCCTCAGTGGGGACCAAGCACACAAATAACACACAGACATACATGAAAGCAAAACACCCATACATATAAAGTAAAAAATAAGATTTTTCAAAAATAATAAAATAAAACCTAAATCTTTTTTTTTTTTTTTTTTTTTTTTTTCAAGACAGGGTTTCTCTGTGTAGTTTTGCGCCTTTCCTGGAGCTCACTTGGTAGCCCAGGCTGGCCTCGAACTCACAGAGATCCACCTGGCTCTGCCTCCCGAGTGCTGGGATTAAAGGCGTGCGCCACCACCGCCCGGCAAAACCTAAATCTTAACCAGATAACATAATGCAATTGGAATAAAAGTAAACAGAACTCCAAAATGTACTCCCCTTTTGAGACCTTTAATTCCAGAAGCAAGCAGATCTGTGTTTGTGTTCCAGGACAGCCAGGACTACATAAACACACACACCACCACCACCCCACCCCCACACCCCCCACACACCCCACACTCCCCACCCCCATCTTAAAAACTAAATTCAAGCCGGGCGGCGGTGGTGGCGCACGCCTTTAATCCCAGCACTCGGGAAGCAGAGCCAGGCAGATCTCTGTGAGTTCCAGGCCAGCCTGGTCTACAGAGTGAGATCTAGGACAGGCACCAAAACTATACAGAGAAATCCTGTCTCAAAAAAAAAAAAAACAAAAAAACTAAATTCACGACAGATGGTGCTGGCACATGCCTTTAATCCCAGCACTCAGGAGGCAGAGCCAGGTGGATCTTCGTGAGTTCGAGGCCAGCCTGGTCTACAGAGTGAGTTCCAGGACAGCAGGACTGTTTCACAGAGAAACCGTGTCTCGAGGAAAAAAAAACAAAAATAAACAAACTAAATTCACACAACTTTAATCCCAGCAATAGGGAGGCAGAGGCAGACAGATCTCTGAGTTCTGAGGTCAGCCTGGTCTACAGAGTTCCAGGACAGCCAGAGCTACAGAGAAACCCTGTCTTTAAAACCCAAAATAAATAACTAAACAGCTTCAAGCTGGTGTCCTTCACATGGTGTGCTCAAAAGTAAAGCTTATGGTGTAAGTGAAAAAGGGAGGGTCATGCTGAAAAGAGAGAAAAAAAAAATGCCTGAAAGGAACATAATACACGTAAAAAGTATCCTCAAAAGTAGACAGTGATGTTTAAGCAAGATGTTAAAGAGATAGTAACTGTGGTGGTATCCAAACATTGCAGGAGAAAACAAAGTCATGAAGGATTATGAAAAGGATGACTTGAAAATGGAGACTGGGATTAAGAGAAACAAAAAGACTCTTCTAGAACAGCATGGACAGTCTCAGTGTGGATGAACCAGAGGCAGAGAAAAAGACTGAAGTCAAAGTGAGAGAAAAGACTGAGGGAAAAAGGAAACAAAGCAAACAAAGCAGACCCTTCAAAACTGGAAAGTGCTGCGTGGGACAGAAGTTTGGTTGGAGCGTCTGCACTGATTTAAGCTCTAACTAAATGAAAGTCATTTGTTTTCATACTTTTATTTCAGTAATTCAAAAACCAAAATAACTCATCTGTTTTGGGAGCTTGAATAAAATACCTTCGAAATATTTTATAAGTAAAAAAAATTTACTCCCCTTAATAAAGAAGTACTAATTTTTACTTTGGTCTACTCTAATTAGACTCCCATCCATTTTTAATATTTGCTAATGTTTGTTTGTTTGTTTGTTTGTTTCAAGGCAGAGTTTCTCTGTGTAACAGCTCTAGCTGTCCTGGAACTCAATCTGTAGACCAGGCTGCCCTCGAACTCAGAGATTCGCCTGCCTCTGCCTCCCAAGTACAAGAATTAGAGGCAAGGCATGCACCTAGACCGCCAGGCAATACTTTCTAATTTTACCATAGCACTTTCTGGAACTGCCAAGGGTTCTCAAACTTCTATAAAGTATATGAAAAGCTAAAACAAAACGCCTGATCAGAGAAAAACAATGTCAGCTGAGCAACTTAAACACTACTCAAAATCCTGAAACACAGTGAGGCAGATGGAAACAATAATTAAGAGTTCTGCAATTCTTATATTGGTACAGTCGTAGAAAAGCAGTCATACATAAAGCCCGGCAGCAACCATGCTACAATGTAGAAACCATACCAAGTCTTGGACTAAACATGGAACAAGGAGTAATTAAATACTGTCTTAAGATTTAATACTGAAGTAGCTGCATAAGCATAAGAAAATAGGTCTCTATGTCCTCCACAATTTATTATCCATGAATTTGTAGTAACTCCAAATGCTACACAAACAAGGCCTCATATACAGGCCTCTTGCCTTTTCTCTAACACAACTGAGACCTTTGTTCTAGCATCAGTTTTTTTTTTGTTGTTGTTTTTTTTACCGTACTCAATAACAGCTCTTTCAACTTTTCTACCACATATTTTTGTTTTGTTTTTAAGAGATGAGATTCTAAGCCTCAACTTGCCGAGTCTTTTTTAAAAAAAAAATTTAATGGCAAAAGTATCTAAGAGGCAAGAGAAAGTTAAAAGACCACTACAGGGCCTACAAACCGAAGATTGCCTGGAGATCGGGTGATTTGGCAGCGCAGGCCAGACCGCGAGCTCAGACTAGGGAGACAGGAGAGCGGTTAGACCACTCGGAACAGAGTCACTGCGCTATCAACCGCCCCCCCACCCCCACCCCACCCCCGCGTTTACCTAGTAACATTCCCGCACCCAATTAACGGAGCGAGGACGCTAAAACCCAGCACCCCGCCAAGAGGCTACAGCTAAAACCTCTCCCCGACAAAATAAATCGCAGTAACAGAAACAAATCCGCTGGACGGTGGGAAGCCGCCCCTCGCCCTTTCCCTCACCTCAGAGGTAATCAATTCCCTCCCGCCCACTTAGAGTAGTTACAAGTGTCATTTAGCCGCCCCCACCCCCACCTGCATTTCCTTTTTTTTTTTAATTCTAGCAATGTTTCTCCGTTCTAACTAACTGAGGCTTTCTGTTATTCCGAGGAAGAGAAAGGCACAAGGCTGGGTCTTCCAACCTTCGTTTTCTGGACATCCCTGAAACTTGTTTCCCTACAAGAAACCCACTCGCGAACCACAGCAGAGTCGAACTGACGGACAAACGGTGTGATGGGTTTTATGTAATCCACACAGTAATCGCCTGGCTCGCTCTGAATGTTAATACGATTGGGATGGCAACTGGCCCACCCCCCGCACCCCAGCCCCCGTTAACCTCCGCGCCCCGCTCCCCTGCTGGTCTCCTCGGAGGATGCTGCTCCCCTCGGCCAAGTTTCCCGGCCTCGACCGCGGGCCCTGCCAGCCCGGCGGGCACGTCGTCGTCCTCCGTCAGCCTCGACTTCCCCGGCCGGAGACGCCTCCCCACGCCGGCCCGGCCCGCCTCGCCCGCCCAACCGCCCCCCGCAGCAGGAAGACCCTTACCGCGGTCCAAACTCACTCCCGCCGCGCTCCTCGGACCCTTGCCTCACAACAGTTGTCACTCGAGCTGCTCCCTAGTTTCCATTTCCGGGCCGTCCGCAGCCCAGAGCCTCCCTTTCCCTGTTTCCGGGCCCCCCGTCCCATTTCCGGGGAACCCTTGCCGTCTTCACGCCCCCCACCTGCACTTCCGGCCCCCCACTTTCTCTCTTCCTAGACGCCCTCCAGGTTCCAAAGACCACTTCCGGTCCCCTCCCGGCCCCCGCTGGGCTCCCCCAGACCCGCACGCCCTACCCAGGTTCCGCCTCGGGCCTTCCTCATCGCAGGAGGCCTGAGCGGGGACCCAGCGCACCCCCCCCACCCCAGCCGGGCGGCCCCGGCTCCTCAGGCCGCGGGGCTCGCTCGAGCGCCTCACCCGCCAGCCTCGGGCTGCTCCCTCCGCGGCCCCGCCGCCGCCGGCGAGTCGAGCCGAGAGCCGCGTCGCCAGCGATGACACGGGCGGGCTGCTCGGGACTTTCGGCTCAGGCGTCCCAGCCCTGCTCAGCCCCCTCCGCCAAGGCCCAGCCCCGCCGCTAAGAACGGCGCCCCAATTACCTAGTTAGGCCCCAAAGTCTCCGGTCCGGACTCGGTGGCGCGACGGCAACTTCCACTGGCTCCCCCCACCCCCCCCGGCGGCGGCGGCGGCGGCGGCGGCTGGTCGTCCCTTCAATTATCAGCTGAGCCGCAGCACCGCGCGGCCGTGCGCCTCCGCCCGCGCCGCCTCCCTCCCCGCCTGCTCCACTCCAGCCGGGGACTACTTTGCCCTAAGGCTCCGGCCTGCGGGATCTTCCGCAGGACCAGCCCCGCTACCTATTCACAGCCCAGCACATCGCCCCTCCCTCCCCAGCGCTCTGACCCCGGCCGGCGAGCCGCCTCCAGTCTCCTTCCGATCCCTTCAAGGGACCAGGAAGGGGACTGTGGCGCTCGGCTTGGTATCCCTCCGCTGGGGTCACCCCCGCCCCTCCGCGCCAGCAGGAACTCAATTCCACTTGGGGTCACCCAGGACCTGATTGTGGAGATTTCACAAAGCAGCCTGCCCTGTGGCCCCCGGTAAAGACAATCACCACCCCCAAGCTAAAACCCCCACTGCCAACTCAAAAGCGGACTTCGCTTTGAACTGGGGCTGCGGCCCCCTGACCCCTGTCAGGCCCCGCCCCTTCCTGGTTGTCTTAGCGACGGCGGTGGCGTCCCAAGATGGCGTCGTGGCTGCCGGAGACTCTGTTTGAAATTGTAGGACAAGGCCCGGCGCCGAGCAAAGACTATTACCAGTTGTTGATCACCCGGTCTCAGGCAAGTGCGAGCCGCGGGTTCCCGTCTCTCCTGACCCCCTTCCCAGCCCGGCTGGGACCCGCGATGCGGGCCGCTCCAGGCAAACAGCCACCGTGGCCTGCCGGAAGCGCCGCGTCTCGGCTCACAGCGAGGGATCTCCCCTGGTCACTTCTGCTGGGCGGCCCGAGAGTCGGTTCTCTCCCAGAGCCCGGCTCGACACTGGCGAGCCTTCCTTGCCTCCCCCCCAATGCCGGCCTCTTCCCTTCCTACCTCCCGGCTTCCTACCCGCTGCGTTCCCTCCGCGCGCCAGAGGAAAAACAGGCGTCCCTGCTTGCGTGCCGCCTCACCTCAGCGTGGGAAGGAGGGAAATAAAGACTCAGCCAAGTGTCCCAAGGAGGAGCCGGCAGGGGGAGAAAGGGACGGTCTCTTCCAGGGTACGACTTAATCCTGGGGGATTTTATTTATTTATTTATTTTAAAGAACCTCGAGGTGGCCTTTACTATTACCACATCAGAATTGCTCTTTCTAACAGGAATGGCTCACTGAAAGGTCTCCCCTTACCTTGCTGGAGCCCCTTCTATCCCTTTGAAAGTGGAAGGGGGTGCAACAAAAATGTTTCAGCTGCTCTGCTCATCAGCCCCACCCATAATGACATCTGCTCCACAACAATAAGAACGAGGATTATGTTATCGCTGGAGTAAAGTAACCCCGGGGCCTTTTTTTTTTGTTTTTCCCAAGTGTTCTGGTTGTCAGGGGTGGACTTTGGATAATGTAATGAAATGCTCTGGTTGAGCTGGGCCCACACTGAGAACACTGCAGATTCCTGACTGAGCTTATCCCAGTCATTAAGCTTTTCACGCACTCTAAGTTTTAATAGGCCATATTCCTACAAAATTAAGTTTAAAACCCTATGTTTGTTTGGGTCTGGGTGTTGATTATCCCATCTGTTTTTGTTCCAGGAGCCCTCAAACAAAAGAGTAATGAAGTAAGGTTTCTTTTACCTGTAAAACAGTAATGATGTGTGCGTTTACTTTTTATGCAGTGTAATAGCCTGTCAGCTTTTTTTTTTTTTTAATTCCTTAAGAATTTGACAATTAAGATTTTTGAAGGTGGGCCGGGCGGTGGTGGCGCACGCCTTTAATCCCAGCACTCGGGAGGCAGAGCCAGGCGGATCTCTGTGAGTTCGAGGCCAGCCTGGGCTACCAAGTGAGTTCCAGGAAAGGCGCAAAGCTACACAGAGAAACCCTGTCTCGAAAAACCAAAAAAAAAAAAAAAAAAAAAAAAAAGATTTTTGAAGGTTTTGTTTGGCTTTGTATGTGAAGTGGGTTGTGGTTTGGTTTCTTTGTTTTTGGTTTGAGACAGGGTCTCACTATGCAGCCCTGGATGGCCTGGAACTCAATATGTAGACCAAGCTGGCCCTGAACTTAGAGAAATACACCTGCCTCTGCCTCCTGAGTTAGGCATTACAACCACCTTGAGAGGTGAGAGTTTTGTTGGGTGTTTTGGTTTGTTTGGATTTTTTGTTTGGTTTGTTTTGGGTCAATTTTTTCCCTTTTCTCTTTGGCTCTGTGAGGGGTGAAACCCAAGGCCTTCTGCTTGCTAGACAATTTTACTACTGAGCCAGATCTTCCCACCCCTATTAGCTTTAAGATCTTCAGTCCTAATAATTCTTCACCCTTTGTATGACTGACCTAAGACATAGTAAGTATCCTTTTGGAATTCTGTTTTCCCATCTATTGCAAGTAAGTTCCAATGTTAATTTGACTTTTACTTTACAGTCGTTATTGTATCTTTAAAATTGTTCTTTTGAGCACTTTCTCCTTGAAGGTCTGGTATCACAAGGAGGCTTCTTCCCCCACCCCCAATGTGTTAAGCATCAATGAATTGAGAATATCTACATGCCGTCCTCTAGGTAATCTGCTATATGAAAACTTCCCACAATATTCTTAACTTGTGTTTTCACTTTTTAAGACAAGGCATCATGTAGCCCAGGCTGTCTTGAACAGAAAGGATCCTGATCATCCTGCCTCTGCCTCCCAAGGGCTGGGATTATTATAGGCATGAACCACAATGCCTGGCATTTTTTTTTTTTTTTTTTTTTTTTTTTTTTTTTTTTTGAGACAGGGTTTCTCTGTGTAGCTTTACGCCTTTCCTGGAACTCACTTGGTAGACCAGACTGGCCTCGAACTCACAGAGATCCGCCTGGCTCTGCCTCCCGAGTGCTGGGATTAAAGGCGTGTACCACCACTGCCCAGCCACCTGGCATTCTTTAAAAAAAAAAAGAAAAGAAAAGAAAAAAATCCCTTTTTTAAAAAATAATTTACTTATTTGTATTGTATGTACATTGGTGTTCTGCCTGCATGTATGTCTGTGTGAGGGTATCAGATCCCCAGAATCCCCAGAAACAGGAATTATAGACAGTTGTGAGCTGCCGTGTGGGTGCTGGGACTGGAACCCAGGTCCTGTAGAAGAGCAGCCAGCACTCCCAACCATTGAGCCGTCACTTCAGCCCCCCCCCCCTTTTTTTTTTTTTTTTTTTTTGGTTTTTCAAGACTGTTTCTCTGTGTAGCTTTATGCCTTTCCTGGAACTCACTTTGTAGACCAGACTGGCCTCGAACTCACAGAGATCCGCCTGGCTCAGCCTCCCAAGTTCTGGGATTAAAGGCATGCACCACCACCACCGCCACCACCACCGCCACCACCTGGCCCCTTTTTTCATTAACAGATCAACAACTGGTCTTTAAACTAACAGTGGTGGGAAAGACCTTTAATTGTGGCACTGGAGAGGCAGAGGCAGGAGAATCAAGTTCAAGGCCAGTCTGGTCTACATAGGGAGTTACAGGCCAACTAGGGATACATAGTGAGGCCTTGTCTCTAAAATTAATAGGGAAAATGTTTTAAAAGGACTGTTATTTGGGGCCATATTCTTTTTATCACTCACTCACATCTAAAATCCTTCTCAAGACTTAGTCCATTTTCTTTATCAAATAGACTACAGTTCTACAAATAAGAGTTCATTTCACATCTGATTAAGTTGACCTCTTTTCCAAATTAAATTTGTTGTGAAAAATAAGTCAAAGGGGTCTGGAGAGATGGCTCAGAAGTTAAGAGCACTGGCTGCTCTTCCACAGGACCTGGGTTCAATTCCCAGCACCCACATGGCAGATCACCAGTGTCTGTAACTCCTGTTCCAGGGGACCAGACCCCTATGGCAACACACCAATGCACATAAAATAAAATATTTTTTAATAAAAATAAATTGTTTGAGTCTTTAATAAACAAAAGTAAAAAATAATTATAGTCTTGAAATATATTGTGTCTAAGGACAGGATAATTTTTCTAAGTCTACATACAGGAAACGGAGTACTTAGTAAGAGGTAGCCTGGCATAAGTATTTAAAAACTGTTCTATAGACCACTCTTCTGAGAAAGCCATATCTCTCTTCTCTGTTGATGCCCAGTTTAACCCTTATTCTTTTTTTTTTTTTTTTAAGTTGGAGAGGTGGGTGGTGGTAGACACTTTTAATTCCAGCACTAAGGAGGCAGAGGCAAACAGATCTTTGAGTTTAAGGCCAACCTGGTCTATAGAGTGAGTTTCAAGACAGCCAGCACCATACAAAGAAACCCTGTCTAGGAAAAAAAAAACAAAAAACAAAAAAAAAACTTTTTTTCTTGCCAGGTATAGCGGCATACTTTGTGTAATTCCAGTACACAGAAGCAGGACTATTGAAAATTCAAGACCAGCCTAGTCTACATAGCAAGTTCCAGGACAGCCAGGGCTACACAGAGAGACCCTGTCTCAAAAAAAAAAAAAAAAAGTTAAAAAAAAATTTTAAAGCAAATTAAAAACTTCATGTGCTAGCAAGATGCCTCAGGAGTTAAGGGCACTTGCCACCAAACCTGATGACTTGAGTCTGATCCCTGAAACCCACTTGATGGAGAGAATGTTGCCCTCTGACCTTCACATGTATGTTTCCGTGTGTCTCCGTGCTCCCTCTACCTCACAAATACACACACACACACACACACACACACACACACACACACACACCAAAGAAAGACTGTAATGGTCCAATTATCTTTAAATTACACATGTCCCCCTGCCTTTCCCTCTGAGAGCTGGGATTAAAGGCTTGTACCACCACCACTACACCTAACCATAGCCATATTCTATCCTCAATGTCTCTAGTCCAAGCTAGCTTCAGACTTGCCTTAGAGCTGGAACTGCAGCCATTCACTAACCATACCTAGCATATTCTTCTATTCCTACAGAGGCATTCTCAGTGAATAACTTAATGCTATAAGGCAAATCTCTGTGATCCTAGCCCTCAGGAGGCTGAGTTGGGAAGATTTCAACTGGAAAGCATTTGAGGGCTACATAGTAAGTTATGAGGCCAGCTTGGCCTGCAAAGCAAGACCATCTCTAAACAGAAACAGCCAGGAAGATGGTGCAAGGCACTTGCTGTTAAGCCTGATGAACTGAATTCAACCCCCAGGACCCACATGGTGGAAGGAGAGAGCCAACTCCCCAAAGTTATTTCTGACTTTTACATATGCACTGTAGCACACACACATAAATACACACAAATAAATGCAATTTTAAGTTTTATAATGAATATAAACTTTCTCAGCATAGCTTGAGGCCAGTGTAGTTCTAGTCTCAAATCTTGCCTTTATTATGATAATCTTTTTTTTTTTTTTTTTTTTGGTTTTTCGAGACAGGGTTTCTCTGTGTAGCTTTGCGCCTTTCCTGGAACTCACTTGGTAGCTCAGGCTGGCCTC